TCCATTCTCATATGATCCGTTCCTTTGTCACATGCTCCAGGAACCCCAAGTACTCCATTGAGTTCCAAGTGCTCCAAATGCTCCTTGAGAATGATCTAAATTTTCCAAGAGAATGCTCCAAATGCTCCAATCACATGTAACAGTATGAAACAAAGCTAGATTATTCGTAAAAGGCTATTCTCAATAGGAGGATATTGGTTACGAAGAAACCTTTAACCCTGTCGCAAGGCTCGAGATTGTACCAATTTTTCTGGCTTATGCAGTTCATGAAAATTTCGACGTCTACCATATGGATGTTAAGTGTAGATTTCTTAACAATGTTCTTGAAGAGACAGTCTATGTCGAGCAGCCACTAGGATTCGTAAATGATAAGTATCATGATCATTGTTATATTGTTGACAAAGATGTTTATGGGTTAAAACTAGCACCTCGTGTGTGGTATGTAATGTTAACCAATTCTGTGAAAATTGCTAAATTTAAATAACGATCTGTTGATTCCACTTTATTTCCTAAGAAAGTAGGCATCGCCTAATGTTTTTTCCAAATTTATTTCAATGACATTATATTTGTCTTTACTGGTACTTCGTAGTCAAAGGAGTTTGAGGAGCTTAGGAAGAGTCAATTTGAAATGAGCATGATGGGGAAAATCAATCATTTCTTTGGTTTAAATATTCATCAGATCAGGGAAGGAATTTTTATTAATCGAGAGAATTACACACAAAACCTACTTGAACACTTTGTAATGACGAATTGCGCAAAAGCTAAAGTTACCATAGTAGTCGGCACTCGCTTAGGTCCTTCATTGGATAAGCCAGTTATTAATCTCATTACATACAGGAGCATGATCTGTTCGTTATTGTACTTAACTGCAAGTCAACCTGATATTATGTTTTTTTTGTATAATTGTCCTAGGTACCAAGCGAATCCCACAGAACCTCATCTTATAGTGGTGAAAAATATTTTTTGTTATCTTCATTGCACTTCGGCTCTTGGATTGTGGTATCTATCAAACATAGGATTCTTTATTCAAGCTTTCTCAAATGTTGATCTAGGTGGTTGTCAACTAGATCAAAAAATCACTGTAGGCAGATGTTTATTCTTAGATGTGAAGCTTGTGAGTTGGAATTTGAAAAAGCAGACGTGTGTATTGATATCAATAGTTGAAGCTGAATACATTGTTGCAGTGGCCTGTACTTCTCAAATTATCTAGATTCAAAGCCAATTATGTGACTATACAACTAACATGAAGAAAATTCCATTATAGTGTGATTCCTAAAGCACAATTCGCATATGTCATAATCCATTTCAACATTCAAAACTAAGCATATTGCACTTTGATACCACTTCATCGAAGATCTTGTTGAAGATGGGAATATTGAAGTTAATTTCGTTAAAACAATAGAAGAACTGGATTATATTTTTACCAAACCACTGGACGAAAAATCATTTTTGAGAATTTTACCTGGTTTGGCAATGATGGAAGCTTTTTATGTTCCTAAATCTAGCTAACTTTCTCTTAAATTTGATGTGTGAAATTTTTGGACTAAGTTTTGTTGATGAAAAAAAAATTCATTCAAAGGTTACTCTTCACGTTTAGCGCTTCGAGCCCCTTCGCTTTCGACACTGTATCTTACTCGTTCAACATATGTTGATATCTAGTGAATGGGAAGTGTCTCTCACTAGGAAGCACATGTCTATGGGAAGTCCGTATTCTTGGGAAGCGTATGTTTATGGGAAGTGCTCGTTTATGGGAAAATTGTTTGTTTGAGGAAAGCATATACAATGGGAAGCATTGGTTCGCATGGGAAATGTTTGTTATCATTAACGAATAACCAATGTTGGTGATATCCTTATTTTCTTTATAAAATTCAAAAATCCAAAAATATTCTCTTATTTTTGTCTTTTCCTTATAAATTCAAAAGTCTAAAAATATTTTCTTTATTTTTGTCTTTTCTTTATAAAATCCAAAAATCCAAAAAGATATTCGTTTTGTTTGAATTTTATTTTTCAAAAATAAAAAATACAAAAAATATTTTCCTTACTTTTCTAAGATTGGGAAGTTCATTGTAAGAAATTGTTACTCATTTGCATGCACAAAGCGAAACTCAACACGGAATTGGTATAATTCAAAACTTTGGTACTAGTTAAGAGTCCCTAGAAGCGTGTTGCAGCATGTTGTCTTAAAGCCTCATAGGCTCATTTTATACGAAACCTTAATGAAATTTTCTTACGAAAATTTCTTCCCAGGAGGCTATATTCACAGTAGTTGAAGTGCTACCTTTCTCTTATAATTCTAAGTAAAGTGATAAGTGTCAGGTCCTATCATTCGTAGAGGTACCCTGGATTTTCTTAAATAATCCTTTTCACTCCAGGTTTCTAACACTCGCACACAAAATGAAACATGCCCAAGACATCTCTATGAAAAAAACATGATATAGGTATGTCACGATTATGTGTTTATGATCCTAAATCGTTTTTCCATGATGAGGGTGAGACCCAACAAACCTAACCAAAAGGATTTGACGGTGAAGATGTTCAAGATTCTAATGAAACCTTATGTTTCAATGTACCACTTTCGATGTTCAAAGTCTCATTTTCATTTCTTTTGCGTGATCTTGATGAAATGTACTAATCTCAAGGCATTTCTACCCAAGAGATCCAGATCTTTAGTTTTTTCTATGAAATGAGATTTCTGTAAGAACATCTGCCTTACACCTTCGTTACTTAAAAAAATTCAAAGCTTAATTGTTCTTGGCTACAATGGCCATACTAGTATTTTCGTACACAGATTTGCACTTATGTCCAGATGCATTGAATGAAAATGAATCCGCCTATGAAACTTATTATAAAATTCCCTTCATTACTTCTCAACGAGTATATGATTGTAAATCATGGTAAACCACTCAAGAAATTCAAAATCTTTTTTAATGACGAATGAAGAGTATCTTTACCCGGGATTTTTCTACATTTATATCAAATATTATTTGATATCACTATGTCTAAAAAAAATTAATTTGATTCTATCATTTCATTTGGCACACATAAGCACTAAAATCCTCGAGGTCATGGGTATTACCAAATCAGACCTAGATTTCGCAAAGTCTGGTAAATGATTTTACTTGTAACTATCATAAGTGAATGAGCCCTAACTCCATAATGTCGAATGGTTCTTGATTCGATATGAAGTGTGTGACAGCTCACTTTTACTGGGAAGGATGAAAGTATTCATTGGATGGGACGTTTCAGAATTGTCTCGTGGCTCAAGCAGAAAAGTGATCATCATTTTTTACATGTGGTGGTTAGGGGCATTGGCACTTCAATACCTCACTTAACATATGGCGTTGTCTGATTAGCACAATATTTGAATTTGAATTTGATATCGGTTATTTAAGGAGGATGTGATCATTCAGTTTCACTTTTCACATTCCTGGCATTCATGTAAAAACCCTAAGTTTTCTTTGTAATCAACTTGCAAATTCTCTCTCGATTTTTTTTCATGGCTGCTACAAATGATGATGTTGATCAATTTAACACCAAAGACGATGTTGTCTCTCAATCAACGATGAAAATTCAGAGCAACAATATTTGGTTCAACCCATTAATCAAGTATTATCCTAAAAAACTAAAGATGCTTATTCAAGTGTTGAATGATTCAATTCTTATTCACACATTATCTGTTTCTTTTGCTATTCCTATAAAATGGCTATCATTGGCTGCATCAACTGCTATATACATCACAACCATAGGAATTCTCACTTTCCAGTTGACAAAGAACAAGAGAAAAATGATTGACCAAGAAGCAGTTTGCCCAAATCTTGAAGTTACCATCTGATGGTGAGTTTGTCAAAATTACCAGTGAACAACCTATTCATATGTTTAATGAAATAGGGAATCAGCCAACTCTTTCAATTATTAGTCATTTCAATAAGTCATGTCTTCCTAGGGTATAAAGTATTTTCATTGGGGTTACTCTTCATTGTTTGACATGTAGGAGTTTTGGATTGGACAAGGAGAAACCTAAGTTCTATTCGATTATGTTTGGAGCTTGGTTTGACGTGTGGTTTATACTCTGGAAGGTATTTCTTTACCTACCAATTATGATGGTGTCACATTTACTTAGATAATGATTCCTAAATCTACCCTGGATGGTTCAGTTGTCTTTTTGATGGTTGGTCTAATTTCGGATTCATTGCTTAATTTGGTGCCTTCGAATAATAGTTTGTTGATTAAATACAAAGCTTTAATGCATCCAACTCCAATTGGTATTCTTCCTAAGAAGGTTAATTTTGAAGGCGTATAGAGATCTTCCAAAGAAGCTAAGGGCATGAAGAAGAAGAAGAAGAAGTAGGATGTGAAACCTAAAGCAGTTGAAAAGGAGGAGTCTCAAAACACTGTGTCTGAGAAATCATGAAAAAGAGGTCTTAAGAAGATAAAGAAATATGTTCTTGTGAAATCGACAAATGATGTTTCTGGGAAGCAACTTTAGTAGATTCCGAAGAAGGTTACTCAGGAGGTTCCTACCCAAGCAGGTGAAAATCCTATTCAAGAGGTGGTCTTTACGAAACCTAAGAAAATATAACTCAAGGTGACGAAGAAAGGTGTTATGATTAAAGGTGTTTCTAATCCTGGTTCTCTTAATACGAAGAAGAAAAAGGCATTGGAAGTTGTATAGAGACTTAAAAGTTTAAGCCTTCTCCATATGAAGAACACCTAAATATGATAACGAAGCCATACATGATGCATTGCAAGGTTCATTTCATCTTTCAACCAAGAAGGATACCTCTATCAAATCGATTTTCCAGGAGACGATTATGCCCGAGGTTAATGCAAACATATCTGATATGGACGCGAACATTAATTCTGGAGAATAACCTATTACGTCTCTCCATGAGCAGACGGTTGTCACACCACCCGAGGTTTCACATTCTAGGTCCAATACGAAGGAGGACGAAACTTCAAACATCAATGTGAACTTATCTAATAAGGATGTAAATGTTAACATGGAAGATGGGGGTTTTATATCTTTCATTGGTACTATACTTATTCCATCACCACTGCCTACTTCACCACCACTAACTTCTACCATTTTACTTACATCCATTCCAGACGTTTCACCAAATTTTCAAGAGGTGATGAATACCATTGCAACGTTTGCTTCATCTCAATCAACTGAACATGAGCAAAGAGTTAATGAAGATGATATCTTGGTTGGATTTGCAAACTTGGAGTTTAATCCAAAAGAAGATGATGTTCTAGATAATGCTATCATCTCAGGTAAACAATTCAAAATTCTCAATTCTAAGTTGAATTCAATTCTCCAACTTTTTAATGGTAGTTATGGGAGATAAAGTTTTAATGGGCAAGTGGTTGAATATTTACTCAAATCTTAAGAGACAAGAATGAAAAATTTGAGTGAAGGAATAGATATGAAACTTGAAGAATGGTTGGTTGTTAATTCTCACACTTTTAATCACAAGATTGAGAAGCTTCGAGATGTTGATGAGGAACAATATGAGATACTTGAGAAGCTTATGAAAGCAGTCAAGCTTACTGAGCTTCGTAATTCTCTTGAGCATGAAATTTCAAAATTGGAAAAGTTTTGTGGACAATTCAAAAGCAGTCTTGAAACCTTTATTGGGGCAATTCACATAATTATATAAGACCTTCTAGCTTTAAACAAAGACTATGAGAAGGGATTAATAGGGAAAAAGTAAGTATATAGTAAAACTTTTGTCAAGATTGAGAATTCGCTCACTAGCTTTCATGAGCGTTTGTCAAAGTTTGATGTGCCTACATCGAATTCGATTTCTCAAGAGCAATTAACTTCTATGACCTCTTCTGTAGGGAATTATTTTAAAGCTAAAATGGAACCAATTCTTTAGCTCGTCCTTTTCCTTCTAACCAATGTTCCACATTTTATGAATGTTCCGCAAGGGGGAGAAAGGGGGTTGGTTCGTACAAAGGAACTGGTGAAGAAAAAGGCGTGGTAGTGGTAAGGGTCTTGTTTGCTCAAATTCCCACTTCGCTTCCAATGAAACCAGGTGTATCAATAACAACAACAACAATTGCTCCTAACATCAATATTGATGTATCTAAGCTTCAAACTAAAAAGAGAGTGAATATTGGTGAAGGAGCCTCAAGCAAAGATGTGGAAAAACCAGAAATAAAATATGCTCCCATAGACAAAGGGAAGGGTGTATCTATGGAGTTATCGAAGGAAGAAAAAAAGAAATTAAAAGAACTAGATATGTAGAGGTTGAGGAAAGTAAACAACATAATGTCTCAATTATTGAATGATCCTCCAGTTTAATCAAGGGTGATTCAAACAAATCTTTTTGTTACAAGAAAATTGAGATTACAGTGATAGATAAAGTCGATGAATTCTTGAAGAAATCCATGAATAGCTAATCAACTTGATTTTACCATAAATAATTTGATGTTTTCCTTAACTGAGTTCAAGTTTGCTGAAAACTTAAAGACCAAGATGAATACAGGAAGTTGAAAATTCACCTTCATGCAGTACTTGGAAAAACGAAGAGGACATGTGGTCAATTGTGAAGATAGTGAAGGTTCTAGCAATTCTCCCTTATATCATTTTTGAAGGATTGATGCAAAAAGTTTGCTACACTATTGTTTGAGCCAACAATGTAGTGTTCAAATTTACAATCACTGATTTCCCATTGATGAATCTCAATGATCTCATCAAAATGACAAAGATTTTGAGTCAGGTGAATAAGTCTCAAATCCCTGAGGAAAATCAAGTTGCATTAGTTGTTTTACATGCACATATCAAGGCCTTCATAGATTGTTACTCTGTACTTGCCTGAAACAAATATTGATCTTGCCATGGTAATCAACAAGACATCAAAGGTTCCAAAAGATTTGTTGAGGGGGAAGCTCAACATTAATGAATTTGAAGATGGAAAAATAATTCATCAACCATTTGGTGTTGTCTTTCAAGGAAAGAATAACAAAGGGAGAAAGAAGATGTTCCTATTCCATACTGATGATTTGGAGAGATACACAAACTCTCATTTTTTGAATATCTTACTTCCCATAAACAATTTTCAAAATAATGAGAATGAAGACAAAGCGGGGGTTCGAAAAATCATATTGTGATACATGGAGATAAGGAAGGTATTGTTGCAGACGATGAAGCCACTTCCTATTAGATTTGTCTTTTCTTACATAGGAGGAGAATGATAGGTTGAAATTAATTATGAGAAGTCGAATTGTTAGTGTCTTTAATCAAAAGTGTCTATAAATAGAGAATGTTAATGTGGCTTCATTATCTTAATGTATTTACTAGGCAACAATATGTTTCCTATTGTTATTTAAATGTCTAATGTGTTTTTTTTATTCATGGGTACCCTATAAATAGGGTAAGTACTAGGAGGGTAGATTAACTTTCGTATCAAAACTTAATCACTTCTACTCTCATTCCCTCTTTACTATTCCAGATATATCAAGCTAAAAACCAGATCTTATATAGATCTTCTTGTTCTTACTTACTTTTCATAATTCATTGACTGAAACAGATTTCTAAACAACTTATCACATTATCTAGTTGGATTTTCCCTAGATGGATGCTACTGGCCCAGTCGTAGTTTTACATCATACCCGTCCCCAAGTTGGCCTACCAGCATAGTTAATATTACGGGCCACTCCGCAGTCTATAGCACTTCTATACTTCTTACAAACCTCGTGAATGCTACGGGCCACCCAACAGTCTTACAATACTTCTACAACTACCATAGGCCCATCCCATGGTCTTGACAACGACCCATAAGAATACCTAACCAAAGATTATTATGAGCCTCAACCCTCATTGGAAATATAATCCCAAATTATTCTCCCCCACTTGGAGTCATCTACACTTTATCCACCGTGTGATCATTCTAATTTCCAAGCCATCTACAATTTCACTACTCAAGACTGCCACCAACCTGAGCTTCGCAAGAATTAACATTTCATGTCCAGGAAAATTAGCATACACATATCACAAAATCCAGATGAATACACCCCACTATCTCAAGGAAAACATGATATTTCATAGCACCTTTAAAAATCCTGTAGTGACTTCAGTGGATGACAAATAACGGATAACCTAGTTATCAAAAATAGATATATATTCAATCCATCAACCCACGTGAACATGCAATCAACCACACCCTAATGGCATGAATTTGACCACTACTTCATTGCATCACAATCATGAACGATCCCTACCTTTCTTGCATTCAAATTCAACATGCTCACATTGTAGCTTCCTCAGACTCGTTACTGAAACCACCAAAATCAAATTTGTTTCTAGTTCTACAAGAAGAACATACAGTCCTCCTCCACTTAAGGTTTGCTCTGTCTTTGGTCAAAGTCTCCCACATCAAGGCCTAAATCGGCTCCCCAAATATGAAAAAATAGAATATGATGATTCTTGAAATATAATAACTAGACCATCATAGCGCAATTATGAGTCATAGGTGGAGATTTAAATAAATTGAACATAGTCTCGCACAGACAATCACATAATCATAAGCATAAATAATAATAATAATAATAATAATAATAATAATAATAATAACAACAATAATAATAACAATAATAATAATAATAAATAATAATAATAATAATAATAATAATAATAATAATAATAATAATAATAATAATAAGGAAGTGAATACAATACATACCTACAACGTCAGCTGATGGAACTCGAATTTCCTTGACCTGCAACTGAAAAACTCGACTACTTATTATGGGAGCCTCCACTCTACCCTTGCGGCCAAAACTAATCCTCAAAGTAGTTTGGTGTTGTGTCTGAACCACTCCACCTGTCAATCCCAAACAGACAGCCTTCTTGTGGTCCACTTGGTTGCAATGAAAACATATCAAACTAGATCCGTGGGGGCAATCCCTGCTGCCATGACCAATCCTGCCACACTTGTAGCAACCCATACCCTTAGATCGACATACCCCATCATGTTGTTTCATGGACGTGTTGTAATGGCCCCGGCCCTGCTAGCCTTTATCTAATGAATTGAAAGTCTTGAGCTTATTTATTGAACCCTCAGCTGTCTGCACCCGTTCTAACTTCCTCTTTTGAGAGGTGCTCCAAGTCAATCTCCCACTCTTAGGCTCTAGTTTTCATATCCTCTGGTCCCCGTAAATCTAAAAAGCTAATGAACTTCTTGATATCTTCCCTCAGCATGTCATGGTACCATGTCTTCTTTGTCTCCTCGTGTGCATCATACAATGGAGTGAGCAAAGCTCACTCCCTAAAGTTGGTGGTGATCTCCATCACAGTCTCAATCGTCTAGCGCATGACCTGAAACTACCTTGTTATTTGTTGCACCTTGAAATTCAATGCAACATATAACAAAGTAGTTTCAGGTCCTACACTATCCAACCTACTCCTCCCATAAATCAGGTCAGGTCATGGCCTTAATAACTGGTGCTCCTAGAGCATATCAAACCCCCTCCCATCAATCATGGGTTCACTCTATCAAACACCCTGCAACGAACCTCACACTCGACCCCTCTTGGAAAAAGCTCGTCATCTGGGCACACTCCATGTAAGGTATCCATTGTCTGGTGATAGTGAGGTCTTTCACCCCAAAGAACGTGAGGGTGCAGGCTCCATAATTTCTAGTGGACAACACAAATCGAAAGGTTTGGAATCCCTCCTTCATCTTCTCAATGATCCCTTACTTAATCGTCATGAACGTCATATGCGTCGTATCAATGACCTCACATAATCTCTGATGTGATGAACTTGCGAAATCCCTCATTAATTGGTTCGACACCAGAACCTGAACCAAAACTAGATCCTAAACCTCCCACTTGTGTGATCACCATACAAAAATACGTAAACAATTAGAACTCATACAAAGAAGCCCACACTCTAGAAGTTTCTCAGAAACATCATGACTTTACTTGACTTGGGTAGTACGGGCCTAATACTACCTTCCATACAGATCTATACCTTCCTCAATGATCGTATCAAATCCTCTAAGTCACTTCCCTACTATCAAGATACTTCACTTGCACGGAAGAACGCCTATGCGCTAATACACCTCCTAGGCTTTCTTGGGGTTCTCCTAACATCACTCTCCTCCATTAGCTGTAGAAGAGACTCCCTCTAATAACTTCTAACTACCTCACGAATACGATCACATGCCACATACAATAGAAAATTCTTCGTCTGCTAGGTCTCTCCTAACAATGGTTGGACTCAAACAAGAGCTGCGTAATAGAGTTAAAACTAATCTTTTAAATTTATTTAATCCCTGAAACATGTACCATTCGAGCATCAAGTAATCCCATATAAAGGCATCTCTCCTAGAATTCTATATTAGCATGCAGTTCTAAAAGATCAACCAGTACACATATAAAGGAATCTCTCCTAGAATTCTATAATGCAGTCCTAAGTTGATGCTTAGCCCAAATCTAGCATGCAATTATCATATACTCATACCATAACAAAAGATATAACACATTTGTGGGTATTTTGGGAAATGCTTACTTGACGTGGACTGACTGTACGCATCACACCCTTTTTCTGTGTAGAAATATTTTTAGAAAAGTTGTTTTCTTTCAAAAAGTTTACCAATTCATCAATTTGAGTTTAGAAACACCTAAGAGTGTACCCGAATTCCTCAAACCAAGGCTCTGATACCAACTTGAAACGTCCCAAAAATACTGAGTACAAATTTTCTTTAAGTCAACCAAAACAACCATTCATTCCAAAACCCAATCAAAGTATAAGAAAAATGTATCAAAAGTCATTGGAGAAGAAAATAAATCAAAGAGTGCAGAACACCGGTGGATGCAATGCAATCATAATCAAAGTATAAGAAAATTGTATCAAAAGTCATCAGAGTAGAAAATAAATCAAAGAGTGCAGAACACTGGTGGATGCGAAGCAATCGCGTCGATCTCTTGCCTTTGGAACCGGAAGCACCTGAAACATAAAAATGAAATCGTAAGCACTAAAATTAGTGAGTTCCCCAAAATATGGCATACCATACATATAATAGAGTATATTATGTTCCAACCATAGTCTTACAATGACTATCATGCCATGAGCTAAATCATGGTATTTCATTGCCAAGTCAGGGGCCAAAACACAGGTCTTACAAATAAGTGCCAAGGGCAGCCTCCTAGTCTTCCATGCAAGTATCACAAAGACAACTAGCATCTTACATATAACAGCCAGGGTCCAGGCCATATTCTTGCATACAATTTTTCGAGAGC